CCGGAGCCTGTGCTCCGCAACGGGAGAGGCCACAACAGTGAGAGGCCGGCGTACCGCAAAAAAAAAAAAAAAAGTATCAACTTAAAAATGACTACAAAATAAGATATCTCAGTAAAAGATAAAAGAGCTAGGTACAAAATAAATAAATAGAAAGCAGTAGCTTTTATAAATAGAGATATTATTGAAAAAATCCTCTTTAAAATAGCAACTAAAAAGATAAAATATTGCGCCTAGAAATAAAATTAACAAAAAATATGTGAGACTTATATGAAGAAAACTTTAAAACACTCATAAACTAATGCAAAGAGATAAAGCTAAAAAGCTCATAAATAAATTAAAATGGAACTCTAAGATATTCAATTAACCCAAAAGAAAGCAGGAAAAGAGCCAGAGAAACAAAATATAAAGCGACAAACAGTAAAATTGCTAACCTAAACCCATCCACATCAATAATTACATTAAATGCAAACAGATAAAATACTCCAGTTAAAAGACAGAGATTATTAGAATGGCTAAAAAAGCAAGATCCAACTGTCAGCTGTCTACAAGAGGCAAACTTTATTTTTATTTATTTATTTATTTTTTTGCGGTACGCGGGCCTCTCACTGTTGTGGCCTCTCCTGTTGCGGAGCACAGGCTCCGGACATGCAGGCTCAGCGGCCATGGCTCACGGGCCTAGCCGCTCCGCGGCATGTGGGATCTTCCCGGACCGAGGCACGAACCCGTGTCCCTTGCATCGGCAGGCGGACTCTCAACCACTGCGCCACCAGGGAAGCCCCACACTTTATTTTTTAATTTTTTAAAATTGAGGTATAGTTAATTTACCATATTGTATTAGTTTCAGGTGTACAACATAGTGATTCAAAATTTTTATAGATTATACTCCTACAAGAGACACACTTTAAATATAAAGACACAAATAAGTTGAAAGTCAGTGGATGGAAAGAGATACATCACGCAACCAGTAAGCATACGAAGGCTGGAGTGGCTCAGGTAATGCAGATTTTAAGACCAAAATCACCACCAGAGATAAAGGAGGATATTTCTAGTAAGAGGTCCATTCATCAGGAAGATATAAATGTGAATGTACCTGGCAACAGATCTGCAAAACACAGGAGGCCAAAACTGACAAAATTAAAGGGAGAAATAAGACTATTCCACAA